CTATATATAAATGTATAACAACTCTTTTAATAATACACCTAGAGAGGTTTTAATAGTTCTGCATGCAACTGTATTTCTTCTCTCTCATGTGACTGCAGGGAAAAACAGATCTATGGAAAGGTACATGTGCATAATGAGGGTTTGAATTTAGTGTTCACATACACACCCTATTTTTTGCACTATAAGATGCTCCAGACCGTAAGATGCGCCTAGCTTTTGGAGAGGAAAACATAAAACAAAAAATCTGCCTCTGCCTCCCAGCCCCTGCATGTGGCTTGTCAGGACTCCACTCTATTGTGCCCACCACCGGTCAACTGAGCGAAAGCTGGATCCTGGCCACCAATAGCCCTGTCAATCAGTGTGCTGGCTCACCAGAAACAGCGCTATTGCTGCCTCCTCTGTATCTGCTGCCTCCATCGGGGAATGCTGAAGCCTTCACCAGCATTCCCCAGCTATTGCCGCCGCCACTTATCAGCCATTTAATTGGCTTCCTGGAACACCGCCGATCAGCTGTTTCAGGTGGCGGGGGTTGCTACTGCTGCCTGTTCACTGGTGGTCCCCACCCCCTGGAACAACTGATTGGCAGTATTCTGGAAAGGCTGATCCAATTGCCAATAGGTGGCGGTAGCGAGCAGTGGCGATATTCGCTCTATAAGACATACAGACATTTCCATCTACTTTGGGGGGGGGAGTGCAACTTATAGCGCAAAAAATGCGGTAATTAAACACACTAGTGCTCTCTTTCTCTGTCTCTCTCTCCACATTATAGTTATATGTTAGTGCTTGAAATATATTGAACAACAAAAAAGTTCTCAGTGCATTTGTTATGTGGAAGCAGTAGCATAGTATTGCCCTTAAAAGCTCCACTGCTGTTGGTATACGAGTAGCCAGTTAAAGCATTTGGCGGCAGTGTAACAACTTTTGACAAATGGTCTCTGTGTTTCCATCTAAATGTAAAGGTGCAGAAGAAAAGCAAATTGAAAGTCTATTTTTTTAACTTTTCCTCTGAGGATGTAAAAGTAGTAAATTTAAGAAATTAGGTTCCACTATATTGAAATGTATGAGGGGGAAGAAAACACTACATCCTTTTCAGTCCCTTTGGTGCCCAGTTAAACCTCCAGCCTTTTAACCAGTTTGTTTGCCCTTATTTGTCATTCAATTCCAGCTGCCGAGAGCAGTTAACACCCAGGCTCTGAGTGGAGCAGGAATATTGAGGATGGTAAACAAGGCTGCCGACGCTGTCAACAAAATGACGATCAAGATGAATGAATCGGATGCAGTAAGAGCTGATTTTTCGACTTGAATAATGAGATGAATTAATGAGGTTCAACAGTTGCATTTTAAAACCATAGGAGTAGAAAATGGGATATTAATTTACTTATTGGCTTGGATTCTCAATTGCATCAGTTGACCACCTGTTTATACTGAGTTAATTTCTTTCTTTAGGAAGGGAACTGTAGTTTGCAATATAGCATAAATTCTAAAGGTTTGTTTGTTTGTTTGTTTGTTTGTTTGTTTCATTTTGCCAGTGGTTTGAGGAAAAGCAACAACAATTTGAGAATCTGGATCAGCAACTTCGGAAACTTCACGGTAGTGTAGAAGCCTTGGTCTGTCACAGAAAAGGTAGATATGTTAATTAGATTTTTACTTTTTTAAAAGTTAAACATTAATTAATGTTTCTAAAATCTCTTCTGATCAGAAATCTTAAATAATTTCAGGACAAGAAACTAGCTAAACACTGAACTATGCAGTGTACAATACATCTCATGCAAAAATGTTGATGATTTTTAGAAACTGGAAAATCATTTTTTTCAATGGATATTTCTTACCAAATAATTTCAGTTTGTAAAGTAATTGAGCACTTGGGATTCTTGGACAGTGTCCTGCTTATAAATATATTAATCTTGCATTAAATGGATTAATTGAATATCTTTTTTTGCAACCTACTATAAGAAAAGTGATTTTTTTTACAATAAGAGGAACTAGATGAACAATGCTAGAGAGTAAAAGATGATATCCATGTATTAGGTATCAAAATTTTAATATCTGTGATTGAAGTACGATACAATATCTTTTGCCATTATATAAATCCCAATGTAGAGCACCATTAAAAAAAACTAACATAGTTAATTGGAAATTTGTCAGTTGCAGGAGTCTTTCCTAATTTCATAGAAATGGATAGAAAGGGGTGAATCAAGGTTGGAGCTAATCAGGTCCCTAAATCAGGTACATAAATCTTCCAGTGCAATCAATGGGATATGTGTAAGATAGAGAATGGAGTTCTTCTTGACATTTGTCCTCTTTTTGTATTAGATCAATACGATGTTCAGGGTTTGGTTTTTTTTATGCCCTAAACTGGATATTGAAGATTCACATCTAATCTATAGTGCAGGATATAATCTTTTTACGAGGAGATAGTAAATTACACAAACATCCAAATCCTTACATGTTTTGCATTACAATACACATGACTAAATTTATTTTACTGACATTTGCTTCATTGGCAGCAATTTCCCGACACTTTGCTTTATAAACTTCGGGAGAAGTTTTTAGCAGAGTTTATAGTAATATGACAGATTTTTATTCTGAAATGGTTCTAGTTACGAAGTCATGTCCAACCTTGTCTGATATACAAGATTATTTCATATCATACATACTATCATTTTAGGAGTAACGTACAAAGTTCTTGTGATTTTAGCATGTGCTTACTTTGTAATCTCTTTAAAATGGTTGAAATAATAGATAAAATAGAATTGAGTATTGGTGTAGAACATGATGTCAAACTTGCAGTGTCACGGTGGCATCATGTGATGTATCATGACTTTTCCCCCCTTTGCTAAACTTGGTGTTGGCGTGGCCAGCACATAACGCATTCAGGCTGTGGGCCACGAGTTTAACAGTCCTGGTGTAAAAGATTCATATGAGTGTGTTCATTTGTTTGTTTCAGAACTGTCCATCAATACAGCTGCCTTTGCTAAAAGTGCAGCCATGTTAGGGAACTCAGAAGACCATACTGCTTTATCAAGAGCTTTGTCTCAGCTTGCTGAAGTTGAAGAAAAAATAGACCAGTTGCATCAAGAACAAGCTTTTGCTGATTTTTATGTATTCTCTGAGCTACTCAGTGATTACATTCGCCTTATTGGTGCTGTAAAAGTAAGCCCACGTTTAAATCTATACAAATGTTCATATATAGGTACTTCTTACTTAATGACCTTTCTTTAGTAATTTTTGAAATTATTATGTTGCTGAAAAAAATGACTACTGATTGGTCCTCACACGACTATTGCAGTGTCCCCACAATCATGTGATCACCATTTGAAAACTTCACAGCCAGCTTCCAACAAGCAAGTTAGATGAGGAATCTGGCAGACAGTCACAAACTGCAGTCATGTAATGTTTCACTCAACAACTGCAATAGGGACAGCTGGAGCTGCCATTACTAAGCACGGTGATATAATGTCATGTTTCAGTTAATCACTCCTTTGCTTATCGATGGAATTGCTGCTGCCATTTAGGGTCACAAAGTGAGGACTACTTGTGATTATATTCAATACCATGACATTTGCTATTATATTTGATTTATGTACCTCATATTTCCTGAATCCAAGGTAGATCTTATGTGAAAGGGAGGACTAGAATTCAAAATGTCCCTGTTTTTTAATCATTATACCAAGGGAGCTCTCATACAAGTTCTTGGAACCTTTCTGAATTTGGGCTTTGAAAACTAATCAGGATGAGGTCTGGGTAGTATTTTCATAGGCAACATTAGACAATTTTACTGCAGCCTAAAGTGAGATGTCAAAAAAAAAATAATAATCTTGGAAAAACAATGTTGCCAAGAAAATTGCATAAATGGAAGTTCCCATGAAGTCAACGATACAGTAAACCTTTCTTGCCAACTGCCTCATTTAGTGACCATTCAAATTACAATGGTGCTGAAGAAAAATAACTTTATGAACAGTGTCCACATGTCACTACATGTTGTCCTGTGCCTGTCTTGTTATCCTTCCTTCCTAACCCTAACCCCCCCATAAAACCGAAATACCAATGAAAAAGTAATTGCAGGAGAATAAGCATTAAAAAAGTCAGGCAGAGGTGACAGATTATTTAGGTTTCCCCCCCAACCCCCACTCGCTCCTTTTTTTCCTTCCATTCACAAAGTGGAGAGATTGGACAGGAAAGGATTACAAGAGAGTAAGGGAGACACACGTGTGTCATTCTGGACTCCCAATCCCAAGGACAAGTCTTGTACATTACAGGCAGCAGCTGCCCAGGTTAAATACTTCTTTAGATTCAAGTTATTTTGTAGATGAATAACTATAGGCATTTAAGTTAAACATTTAATAATGATCAGAGCTCTTTTTAGTTAAGATGCAAAACTTTTTTTCTTGAAATGTCAGATTTTGAATAAGGTTACTCTCATCTTTTTTTTAAAAAACCACATTGTTTATAGGGTGTATTTGATCATCGAATGAAATGTTGGCAGAAATGGCAAGATGCTCAAGTCATGTTACAGAAAAAACGAGAGGCTGAAGCTAAACTTCAGCTTGCCAACAAACCTGACAAATTACAGCAAGCTAAAGATGAAATCAGAGAGGTAAATTTTATAATGCAGTGCCTTTTTAATTAAAAAAAACTTTTGTTCTTCATATTCTTTGCCTTTAGTGCATTTCAAATATGGTTTTAATCTCATTAGTACAATTATTATTACAATAACAGTAATTTTATACATTATCTTAAATGTATATTCATATTTGTGTTTTACAAACTGAATGCCACTTTTTAAAATAAAAAGTTACAGCATTTAGACTGAGTCAATTTATATTAGGCTATATGAAACTCTCATTTCCAAAATATAAATTTCTCACTGTCAACTTTACAATTGCATATACATATTTTTCACTTGTACAGCATACTCTATCATCATTATAATGTTAAAAGAGCTAGAGAGTATCATAATCATAATCTCTACACTTTTTTCTGTTATGCTTCATCAAGGAAATCGAAGAGGTAGGAGAACATACGTTTCCTGTTCTTATTTCTTACATTGAATAAGAATTGTTAATATTCATTAACAAATCCACCTCTACATTTTTGTTAAAAAAATTTCTTACTAGACATTTTTCTTACTAGACATATTCTTTTAACAAAGTAGCATATTGTCTTCAATGAAGATTTTATACTTTTATGAAAACGCTCAATAATCAGGAGAGCAATAAGTATTTTAGTGATATGATAAGGATTAAATGACTGAGAATAGATAGTGGGTTTTGCCTATTGTTTAGAGTAGCATAGACTTGTAGTTAAAATGTGCATAAGGAGGGAACAGTTTACTGAAAATATTTTACATGTAATTTCATATCATTTGGATGCTGTTTGCATTATCAGATTTATGTGTGGCACAGAAAACCAACATATGCTCTGTAAAAATATTTGTTGCTTTTCTTGTGACTCAGTTACTGTAGAATTAAATTTCTCCATGGTATCGACGGAAGAATCCAGAATGGATTATTCGTTGACTGAATTGAAATTCTGAAGATATGCCTCCTTGGCAATGGTCCCCAGTCTTTCAATTCAGTCTCAGCTCGCAGGACTGGTTTTCTTGAGCTCTCAGCTCAAGTTTGAAAGATTGTTGGACTTCTAATTTAAGAACATTAAATATCAACATAAATTGAAGGAAGATTGGTTCGCCGTGGTGAGGAGCGCTGTAGGCATATTTGAGGGCTTAATTAGCCCAATTTAGAGCGATTGCCGCTTTTAGGTGGCTGAGATCTGATATTTACCTCAGGAAACAATTTAAGACTGTTAGTAGCTAGAAGTGAAGATCGTGCTAACAATCTTATGTGACTGATTGCCCGGCAGGTATAAAGGTGCAGGGAGACGAAAGTGACAGGTGCCCTGTTCACTCATACTGGTGCCAAATTTAAAGTGACGAGAGTGGCTGAGGTATCGGGGTCGGCTAACCAATTCATCTGTTAACCGAACCTCTGTATTGTAGCAACGGTTGACGGAAAATTGAGGCTTCAGTTATTCTCCGGAATTCTAATTCTTCAGAGCAGTTTTTTATTAACACAATCCATGAATCTAATAAATAAATAACTGCAAGCTATTTTTAAAAGTCTAATATTGAAATTTTTACAGACTATTTTTTTTTATGAATTTGGATTTAAACTGTTTTTGTCAGATTTTCTACTTATCAACATTCTTCTATCCATTGTCATAATTTCCTTTGAACACTTTTCCATAATTATATTTGAGTTGGAAACTTTTAATATCCAATTTGACATATTCACTGCAATCACTATATTTTTTAATTGAACTTTAATTTTATATATACATTCTGTTTAGTGGAAGGAGCCTTTTTAGGGATGATAGTTCCAAATACCTGACTGTATGTTGATTCATATACGAGTTATTCAAATAGAATTGAATATGTGCACACTGGGAAGTTGATCTGGCGGTCCTGCACACATGAAGACCAGCTGGCCGATGCACCAGAACCCGGAAGAGCAACGGACAATGGCTCTTGTGCCCGGAAAGATGGCTCTGTGTGTCACTTTCTGCACACATGCCATAGGTTCGCCATCACCAGCCTCGGGTATCTAACTCCAAGACTACTGTAGTTTCATACTATGTGTCAAGTATAACAGATACATGAAAGGCTGACGTAAATATTAATCCTAAATTTGAGAATAATTAATCCTTTTAAGTATATCGGGAGATAGAACTTATGCTATAGGTCAGTGGTCCCCAACTTTTCCAGCACTACGGACCAGTAGCGTGGCAGAAGGGGGCATGGTTGCATGTGCGCGCTCTTGCACAAATGCACCGTCACACACAAACCGCCACTTGCATGGCCTGCTTCTCAACAGGCCCGCACTGGGCCATAAAGTGGGGATTGGAGATCCATGTTATACATCTATTATTATTAGTTGTTATTTTATAGGAAATTTGAACAACATATTCTGGAACTATCATTAGAAGTTAAACTATTTATTTATTCATTTATACATTCAATCTTTAAAAAAATAGCCAAATGCTTAATTATATGTGTTTAAATTATATGCATTTTTTAACTTTTAGTGGGAAACAAAAGTTCAACAAGGAGAGAGGGATTTTGAACAAATCTCCAAAACAATACGCAAAGAAGTAGGACGATTTGAGGCATGTATACAGGCTGTTGTGAAAAAAATGTTTATTAAATGGATCTTAATGAAATAAACTTTGGCAAGGTTGTTCAGTGAGTAAACACCTTAATTCTCTTTTATTCTCAGAAAGAACGTGTGAGAGACTTCAAAACCGTTATAATCAAGTACTTGGAATCATTAGTGCAAACACAACAGCAGGTAAGATTATCTTCAACTAATAACACATTTTAGAGTTTTACTCAATGAAATTCATTAGATGTTTACATTAAAAGAATTTTGGGTAGTCGTGCATGTGTGTACGTACATATATGCATGTGTACACATGAAATGCTGTTTACTACTTTCTCTTTTTTTTCCTCCCCAGCTGATAAAATACTGGGAAGCATTCCTACCTGAAGCCAAAGCCATTGCCTAGAAAAGACGACTTTCCAATATGAAGATTCTTTGGATGTTCTCCCAGTTGAATTAAATTCCACAATGAAATCACTTTAAAATCATCCAAATAAACCACTATATATTTTATGAATTTAACATGTGGCTTTTTATATACTATAGCATCTTATTAACAGCTGCATGTCCTGACACTCTTTGGACTGTGGCATGACATTCTGCAATACTTGCGAATTGAACACTATTGTGTCTTAATATTTGCACTAAGATGTGCAATGCAAGGCCAGAACATTATTTTTGTTCTTTACTATAAGTTCTGTCTACTTGATCTTTATGAAATAAATTGCATTTATTAATGTTCACATACACATTCCTGTAAATAATCAAGATTTTGTGATTACAGTAATAAAGGGATGTATCTTGTGCAACATTAATCATTACCTGTGTTAATTTTGTTCTTCATTAATTGATTATAAACTATAAACTCTAAGTGAAATAATTGGTATTAAGTAGTTCCATCAGTTTTATGCATATGCAAAGTATTTTCAAAATTAAACCATTGTACTTAAATGCCTTTTATTTGGCCTTAACAAAAATATCGGATACTAAACCATAAAACTGTTACAATTTACAAATCAATTTGTTTGGATTGTTTCAAACTGATATCATTCTAGTAACAAGGCTCCTTGATCCAATGAAGAGTTCTATCAGGGAATAAAACTGAAGACTCAACGTTCTTCTACTTACATTCTTAGGCTATTCTAAGGGATTTCCTGTTTTTAAAAGCACATTTACACAGTTAAAAAAAGAAGGTAGTCCTGAAATTCTGTAGAGCCAATTATTCAATCAGATAACATCCAGATATTTATCTTAGGTTTTTTTAAAGTCACTATACAATTTGGAAAATGGCATATCTTTTTTTAAAAACGATTCTGTGAATTTTTTATGTTCCTGATGTTTAAATTCTATGGTTTGAATATTTGTCTCAGTGGAAACATGGATTTTGCCATCTCCACTTCCTCTGAAGAAATCTGATGTTGGTTCTAGCTGTTCTAACTGGCAGGTATTTTGGCAACTTGTGTTATTTCTAGGGTTGCAATGTTTTAACTCCTTATCTGATAAGGCTTATCAGATAGATTTACATTTGCATGTAACAATTGCTTGAATATTTTATTAATCAGTCCTAAAGTGGAAATCCCACATAGAAGATAACAAAACATCCCAGTAAGCTCTATAATTTTGATGCATTTGCCTATTACTGGGTGGAGAATTTACAGGCTTGTTCTATGAAAAAGTATTAAAGTAATGATTGTGTTTTTACAGGACGGCTTTTTTCCCTAATGTTATCTTTTAATGGAAGTAATTACCTGCATGATTTACTACTGCATTATTGCAGCAATTTTTTTTGCCCTTTTTTAATTAACCAGTGGAATAGCCAAGGTTGTTGATGGCATTAAATTGTTTGGAATGGTAAAACAATAAGAAACTGCAAAGAGCTCCATAAGAGATTTTCACACATTAGGGGATTGAATATCAGAATAGCAGATGTCATTCAATGTGAGCAAGTGTAAAATGATGCACATTGGTTCCAAAAAGCCTAACTATTCATGCAAACTAATAGGGTCAGAGTTACATCAGAGTTACATGTAATCAAACTTGCAATTTATTACCACAAGATACAGGGCTGGCTAGCAGCTTGGTTTGTTTCAAAAATGGTTAAACCAATTCATGGAAGACATGGGAATCAGTGGCTATTAGCCTTGATGTCAGTGTGACTGTCTGAAGGCTTATTGCTGAGAGGTCTGTATGCTTCCTTGGACAGTTGATTAACCACTGGGAGAATAGACTCTGAACTCAGTGAATCCAATGCAGCAGGGGATTTTTGAATATCTCCATTATTCATTTACCAGAGTTTCATGTAAGTCATACTAATATACTGTATAAAGAGAATCTAAGTAAACAAATGAAATTTGGTGCTTATTCATAATCAAAACCATCAAATATGTGCTTTGTTCGTATGAAAAAGTAATCTCCATTCCACCCTGCTTTCAATCAACTCAGGAAAAACTAAGCCAATTTTGTGAGAATTTAATTAAACAAATCGGCTGATTCTGATTGATCTTATATAACTCTTTAACAAACTTTAGCTCCTCTCAACACAGTGAAGTTCTCAATATACATTTTGTGAAGATCTTCTTTAAAATTGGAAATAAGTGAAAACATTAGGACTCCACTAATCTAGAGTCGCAGATATCACTTGGAATAGAGATTTAAAAAAAGAATGGTGCTTTCTGAAAAATCACTTCACATTCTGTCAAAATCACTTCAAGAATACAGCATAAAATAATCCAGGAAGTAATACCTCCAGGATAACATTTTGGAATCTGTAGGCCTACTGACCTACACAAAAGAGTTCAGGAAAACTGCTAAAATGAGACTGATGAAAAAATATAAGATGAATCCTGTAGGTGCCTAGGATAATTGATGCTTTTCTCAAATTTGCCAAAACCATTTAGATGACTTCCGTAGGAACATGATGTGGACTGGTGATTAAAAAGTGGAACTTTTCATACCATGGTCAATACTGAAGGGCATTAAGAGATCCAGCAGAACAATGGATACATAACTCCATCCTGCTTTCACTATAGATCATTCAAAAGTGAAACCAATGCCATTTCCATTCAATATCCAGTTCTGAATCTTGACTGAAAGGGCTTCATATCCATCAGCCTGAGGAGTAGCTCCCCTTTAAGTCTTAAGACACTCTCAGATGAAAATAACCACATCCCCAGGCCTGGATTCTCTGTTAATTCCATACCCAAAATCTAGCTGGCACATATCTGAAAGAGCCACCCTAACCTCTGGACCCAGCCAGGTCTCAGTAACACATGCCAAATAAGCACTAAACTTTGGCAGCATTTATTCCTTGAGAATCTTGTATCAATAGAATACTAAAATACAGCTCTAATATTCTGTAGTGAAGATAATGCAACATTCAGAAAATTTAAAAATGAACATACTTTCATAGAGCTGCATTTAGCAGCTTTTATTTTAAGGGAGAATGGTTCGCTTCACATGGAATACATATTTGATAGGAAGATATAAATAGATACATTTGGTCACTGAAAGTTAATCATTAACATCTTTCTGATTTTTATGCTAATATAATCAACATCAAAGAGAAAGAAAAGTCTCTGAACTGACTTCAAGTCCTAATACCCATGGAGTTTTCCTGGCATCAATACTGGAATGATTTGCCAATTTCCCAAATACTTTTTCTACTTCTCAGTCTAGGCTACACAATGTTGGTTTGGGTGGTAGTCTATTCAATCTTGCTTAGCCAGACAAGTTTGTCCAGGTGTCTGTCTCTGCTTAGGATATGATCAGCACTAAGGCTGAGTCCAGTCAAGGTGTTTAAATACCATTTCAATTCATACATGTTATAAATGCAGCTTCTAAATACATTTTTTAATTGGCTTAAGATGTTAGGTATGCCTATGGATATCTTAATCTGTAAAGATTTACTGTAATGCCATGGAATTTAAAATCTTGATAGTTACATTTTCTCCCACAAGAGTTCTGTACTGCCTGTAGCAGCAAAAACAGAATTCCAGACGATACACAACAATCCTATTTCATATGTATTTAACCTCATATAAATTAACCATTTACATAGGAAAGAAAAAGAGGTTTGCATCTCTTTAGAGAGCAATGTTCGAGTTCAAGTAAACAGAAGGCAGCAAAGAATATGAGCCCAAAGAATCGGAGTCTGAAATTTTTAATGATGTCAAGTGCGCATCTTTTGCAAACTAACAACTGTTCTCGAATTAAGAAAATTTTGCGTTTTATTTTACAAACTTGCAGCCACTGCATTTTTTTCCTTCTGTTTACGGTCTAGCTAGCCTATCTATTAACATTACTATTGGATGACAGTTCAGATTGCGCATTCCAAAAAAGGCGTTCCCCTTACTCAGTATTGCCTAATGCGTCAACTTGCAATTAAGTAGGGGCGGAGGCACCTAAGGGCTGTCCTTATCCCACATTGCTGCAACCGCTTTAATAAAAAGTATGAACATCCCTGTGGCAACTGATGCCGAAAATATCGCAGCCTCCAGCAGGAGCAAAGATAACATTTACCCTGGCGCACAGGACGCCCTCCCTATCGCCCAAGACCAGGAGAGCTGGGAGTAGGAAAGGCACCCTCCCTCGCTCTCCCCCCCTCCTCCTCCGTTTCGCTTTCCCAGTCCATCTTGCACCAGGAATCACGTGGGGGAAGAGCGGAGACTGCTGTTCCCATAGAGATAGAAAAAAAGGTTGCCCTTGCCAGTCATGTGATTTCCACTGGCCCCACGGCTCCTTCCGCCAGGCTTTGCGCTGCCCGGGGGACGTAGAGTCCCCCCTCCCTCCCCTTGCCTATCCTTTCCACGAATGCCCCTCCCCCACCCACCCACCGTGGAGAATCCGTCCAGGGGCTGCGCTCGCGCACCAGCCGTACCATGGAGGTTTTTATTCCTTCGTTCCGCTATGAGGAGAGCGAATTGGAAAGGGGCTACACGGTGAGTGGTGGCCAAGGCGAAGGCGCTAATGACTCCCCCTCTTCCCCCTGCAGAGGATGGGATGGTACAGCTCGGGGGCCGGGCGTTTGCTTGCCTTCTCCCGGAGAAGCGCGCGCAGGCAGTGCTCCTGAATAGAAGGGATTTGCAAGGCTGGTGCGTTGGGCTAGCAGCCAGATCGCCGACAAGGCGGCGAATGATTTTAGTGCTAAATTTATTTTGCGGGATCCAATCGGGGTCGGTCACCGGGACCAGAGGCTTACTCCCGCCCGCTTTGGGATTCGTGCTGGAGCCCATCCTCAGGGAACTTTTCTCTAGCAGAGTGTGCGCTTTGAACTATTTTGTGTATGGTGTTCATATGGTGCCTGATTGTGTGTTCGCCAACTGCAAAGCCACACAACACAGACAAAATAGTCCAAAGTACTGCTAGACAGTACTGCTAGACAGAAGTTCTCTGAGAATGGGCTCCAGCACCAGTCCGAAAGCTCGTAAAATAAAACCTGTAGTCCCGGTGACCGACCCACATTGAATCCAGCAACATTATCTTGGGACACGTATATTCGACTTCATTCATAAACATATTTTGATTATAGTGTAAAGCTAGTGAATGGTTGGGTTACCGTTTGAACTTGTCATTCTATATCATTGCTACCTAGCTAGCTGAAGACTTGAGGGCATTCTAAGTAGGCTATGATGGAAGATTTGGATCAAATTTTATTGATTAAAAAATTCCAGCTTAGGACAATTTATCTTGGAACATGTGTGAAATGTTTCTTAGAGATACATAACGCAACAGAAAGGCAGCGGATACCAAAGCAGATACAAACTGCATTTAGGGGAAAAAATGCTTTTTCCCTTGTCTGGAATCCTCCAAAGTGTACTACTTGAAGTATGCCCTGGTATTTTTGGCCCTTGCTCCACACAGTGGAGTCCATGTGTCTGTTTTAAAGTTGTAGCTCTTTCTCTTAAGTGAAGAAGCAGTGTTTATATTTTGTCAGAGTAAAACATTTAGGGTTACTTAACCTGTAGCCTAATTATTAAATGTTCCTGTCAAATGTCCAGCTAACAAATATCACTTCTGCTGTGTGTTTCCTCACAAGTCTTGAGTTAAATATGGAAACTGTTTTACTATCCCTAATTAACCAAAACTAGAATTAACTTCCATCCTTCACTTCTCTCTGCAATATGTGAGCTGATGCTAGAGACAAGCTGTTGAATCTGACTTTAAATGGGGTGGGTGGGGAGGATCTCACACATTCATAAAGAATATGAATTAAATTATATATATATATATTCAAACAAGATAGAGGTGTTGCTTATGAGGAGTTTGGATGGGGTGCTTAATCTCAAAAAAATCAAATTTCCTTTTGGATACTTCTAGATTCTGTTTTGCATTTGGAGGCTTGTCTGAAGTTCGGAGTGCCTTTACCAGATTTAAGGCAATGATATATAGAATAAAGCCATTAATTAGGCCTGCCTCTGCTTTAGTTAAGTTAAACTGGATTGGTGCAACACACATTCTATTTTGAAAATATAGTTGGTCTATAACCGTGATGGCAAACCTCTCTGTGGACAGGTGAGCCATCGCCCCAGTTCAGCTCTGCTGTGCATGCACATGCATTTCCCGCCAGCCAGCTGGTGTTCAGGTCTCTGCCACACATACGTGGGGGGAACGCATGTGGAGGCCATGCATGCATGCGCGGGGTGCATGCATGGGTGCCACACATGCATTGCATTTTGGGGATTTGGGAGGCACACATTCACACATATGCACATGCGCTTTGGGCACTCGGTCTAGAAAAGGTTAGCCATCACTGGTCTACAAGAATACTGAGTGGCAAATGTTTGAGATGGAGCCATAATGTACAACTTCACTGATTACTGTGGCTCCTGCTCTAGTTGGCTTTGCCTGACTTAGGACACGGTTCAAAATTACAGTACAGATAATCCTTGACTTACAACAGTTCATTTAGTGACAGTTCAAAGGTACAGTGGCACTGAAAAAAGTGAATGACCGTTTTTCACACTTAAAACCGTTGCAGCACCCCCATGGTCACATGATCAAAATTAGAACATTTGATAACTGATTCAGATTTCTGACAGTTTCAGTGTCCCTGGGTCAAGTGATCAGTTTTTGCAACCTTCTGACAAGCAAAGTCAATGGGGAAGCCAAATTCACTTAACGTAACAACTGCATTGATTCACTTAACATCTGTGGCAAGACAGGTCATAAAATGGGGCAAAATTCACTTAACAAATGTTTCACTTAGCAACAGAAATGTTGTGCTCAATTGTGATCATAAGTTGAGGACTACCTCTAGTTACCTTGAATACTTTACTTCTAGAATAGCTTGAGATCTTTTCATATTATGTTCCCTAACATTTATTTATTACAGCATTCTCTACCCTAAAATCTGATGAAACATCTGTTCTCTTGGCAGAGGCATGATTGATGAAGACAATAGAAAGAGGTACTCAGTGGCTACATTTAACTCTGGACCTCTGCATCAGGAAGTCTCAGGACCACACCTGCACTTTTTCCAGTAGTTTTTCATTAATTGGTTAAGAATTTCCTATTTATAAGACTACCAGATCTGGGCTATAAAACCACAAATGGCATGGAAAAGCCAGAGTTTTTTGTACTTTTTGACTACCATCTCAGGTCATAGACTTAGTAGCCCTATTATTTAGGAAAACATTTGATTCTCACATAAGTGTAAATTTCATTTGATAATTTCCTCAGTATTTGTCTGCTTTATACTGTAAGAAAATCTTGCTGCACTTTTTTCCTACGTATTTTTAATGTTGCATTAGTTTTAGTTGTTAGTGTTTGTGATAGAAGGATGACATAAATTTTCATTAAAATAAAATAACATTAACTAGCCTTTTCTTCGTTACAAGACATTAACATTTCTGGGAGTGGTAAGTTTGAGTTCCCAAATAGAGGACTTGTCAGAACTATTGGCTGATTTCCTAGTGTAGAAACTAACTTTACAGGAAAATCACAGTTACATATTTTCCAAATTTAATAACATGCATTCATCTCATTATTTTTGTTAGTGGAGTTATTTTTTATCCTACCTTTGTTTTTATAAATAATTCAAGGTAGGAAACATATCTGCTAGTAGTAATTCTAGTACTTCTCCTAACTTTCCCACAACAAACCTGTGAGGTGAGTTAGACTGACAAAGTGACTGGCCCAAAGTCACCCAATTGTCTTGCATTTCTAAGGCAGAACTAGAAATGCAAGACAATTGGGTGACTCCTGATTGCTGGTTAGCCTGATGCCTTTTTAAGGCTTCATCCAATTCATACTATTCTTTATGTATCAGTATATCATTGTTTGATAATGAGATTTAAACCAAAATTTTAAAAAAGTATGCAAAATATGTATAAGATTTAAGTACACTACTTTACCATTTTTATTGACCAAAAAAAACCACTAATTCTGGGCATTTTCAGTATCATTACAGCAATATAACTTTATGGAAAAGTGATTTTGGTGCCTATTATTATTATTATTATTNCTCGTGCACTATAGTGGTCATATATGCATGCACATTGTATTTTGGGTACTTGGCAACCAACTCAGCTTTATGGCCATTTGCAGCATTCTGCAATCACATGACTATGATTTGTGACACATTTTGCCTCTTTCCAACATTTACTTCCAGTTTGGCAAAAAAATAAAAAAGCAACAACTAAGGGTGAGGATTGATTTGCTTAACCATGGTGTTCCCTTAACAACCACCATAAAAAAGGTAAAATAAATTGGTGATGATTTGACCTAGGACTGCAACACCTGTAATTCAGGCTCAGTTATGGTCATAAGTTGAGGATTGCCTGTATGTTAGAGAAATAAACTGCAAGCTGCAGAAGCGTTAATGAACCTCAGGCTGCTATCTCATTCCATCTGCCTCATTTGCTACAGTGAAGCTAACATTCTTTTTAGTACTATACAATGGTGAATTCAAATTATTATTGAAGGAACATTAAAGCAAAAAATTTAGCAACTTGCCCTAGCTTTTAAATTTGCTTTGGCATGTTTCAAGAGAAAGTATCAGAGATAGTAAACTGGAAAAATTATCCTGAATTTTAAATTTATTTTTTTAGTTACAAGGACAAGCAGGAGATTTTTCTAATCCTGGGAAAACATCAACTCCATTTAGCAGCAGAATATTTAATTGAAAACATTGGGCTGGAATTTCATTTATAATAAATTCATGTTAAAGCTACACAAAACTATCTGTTAGAATCACTAATGTGTTTAATATATTCATGGTAGTGAATTCAAAAACAATAGATGAGTGATTATTTCCTTGCCTGGAAAGGATGCTCCTGTTATTTAATTCAATTCAATTTAGATGCTGCCTGAATTCAAACTAATTATAAATGGTGAAAATTTTGTACACATTGGTGGTATAAACCTCTGTAGCAATTCCTCCTCTTGAAAGTTAATTTCATTAGGACATCCTTAACTATCAGTGCTTTCTAATGAAGGTCTTAAAAAGATTTAATGTATATAAGATCACATTTGTTTTTCCTAAGTTTTTGATCCAGAATGCTAATTCTGTTAATAGTATATTGATTTATATTATCTAGTCTCTGTAACAAATGCATTAGATTAATTTTTCACATTACTTAGATTTGTGTGTGTGTGTTATTTTTTATACAGTGTTTTCCTCTTGACTTTAAGGAACAATATTTATAAAACAGAATAATTCCAAAACTTAGATGCAAAATAGTGCTTCTGTGTATAAATGAATCTCAGTGGAAATTGAAACTTGAGTCATGAAGACAGATAATGACAAAGTGTAAATAAATTATATAGCTTAATTTTCCATGATCAAGCAATATACGGATGCTTTCAAAACTATTTGCAAAACAAAAAAAATATTTCAGGGTACACTACTTCTTCAGTTCTTTGGAATTTGGCCTCAAATCTAAGGTGTGATTAATCATGCAATCTAAATACCACACTTATCTTTTAAACTGACCCAACA